CAGAGGGCACAGAGCTCCGGTGTGTCACTGCCAGAGGGCACAGAGCTCCGGTGTGTCACTGCCAGAGGGCACAGTACTGAGGTACCTTGAGGGGGTCCCAGCCACGTAATTCCTCCCTGAGCAGGGGATGGACCACGGCAGCAGCGAGGTCAGCGAGGCCGAGCATCTTGTACTCCTGATAGTAGTCGGACTGCAGCTTCTCGAAGATATGCGCACACTCCTCCAGCGTGAGCGGCCCATCCTGGCCCTGGCCCTCCTCGCTTTTCTCAACCAGCTCGAGCACGTGCTCCAGCCGCCCCAGGGCAACACGCTCCTGCTTCAGTGTCTCCTCTAGGGCGGCGCTCTCATGAGACAGAGACACCACCATGTCCCGCTCGTGCTGAAGCCTTCGTGCGCTCTGAGAGAGAGTGAGAACTTCAACACAGCTGTCTGCTGCCTGTGCGCAGTCCTCGTCAGCCACTACCACTACACTGCATGATACAGCATGCTGGCTGGCTGAGGCACATGTTTCACACAAGTGATTACATAGCCTAAGGGCGGAGAGAGAGGGTAGTTCCAGCTACAGGGACAAGGCGGGACGCAGAGGGTAGTTGCAGTGAAAGGCATGAAGAAAGAGGGCGTTACAGACATATGGACTGACCTGTAGAATATCCTGCTCCGTGAGGTCAATCAGCAGCTGCAAGTTGTGCTCCAGCTCAGGAAGTGCGAAGCCAGGACTCCGCTGGTCCTTGGGGGCGGCACCAAGGGACGGCTCCTCTGGAACACTGTGCTTCTGGCTCATCTGACTGTAGCTGTAATAGACCTTCTGCTCACGGCCTGTCATATCAATCACCTGCAACACAGCCCAGGGGACAGACTGATACACTTTCAAAACACAGCAGAAAACTGTAAAGAATACTTTAATTTATTTTAGACAATTTGTCATAGACCTATGCTATAACTTACCTCAAAACTAGACTAGATTACTATGACTACATAACTCAGCATAATGGTGATAATTCCAGAACACTAGCAAAGAATACTGCTCTTGTATCTGGTGTGATAAAACATGCAATCGAAACACTAGATTAAACGCAGTGTCTATATCTCCCTGCACACCTTGACCTGGGCCAGCTCCGCAGGGGGCGCAGTCATGCTCTTGCCCACCGCCTGCCCCCGGGCCTTCAGCTCGTCCACCGTTCGGTACGAGTATTTGGGCTTCTTCTTCCCAGCCCCTGGGTCTCTGCGCCACTGGCCCAGCTCCCGCTGGAAGTCCTGCGGGAAGAGAGGAGATTCTGAACGGGCAGCTGGGCTCCCTGCCTGGCCAGCGGGGGAGAAGTGAGAGGCAGCGGCTCTCGGGCGAACGTGAGACTGGAGTTTCACACGTGACTCAGAAGGGCAGACAGCAACGGGAATTTATTCCACACCTCAGTTAAAGCTGCTGCACAAATGTAAAGATGCAAACCAGCAAGACACAACACATGAATGAAAAAAATGAATAAATGTGCTGTGGCTTTGTACATTTGTATGAATGTGATTCAGCAGAACTAAAAGTGCAGCAAACACCTTTAAAAAAGGACCTGAGCGCTGGCTGCCTTTTACCAGAAAGGAGTAAAAGCTTCACAGAGGTAATCCCGAGGCACACAACCAGAGACTGTTGGGTGCACATTAACAGGCCAGATCCGGAGCCCCACTCACCTTTTCCTCCTCTTCCTCAGAATCCACGATGGGGAAGTCCTGCAGGGACTGCTGGGTCCTCTCTGTGCCATAAGCTCCCACTGCCCCCTTGCCCTTGCGCACCTTAGCCTCAATGGGGTTCACAATACCTGGGCAAAGACATAGCATCTGGCACTGAGGAGCAGCACTGGCAAAAAAAACTCAGTAATGACAGACAACAATGGGCACACAGTCACACTGTCAGGACACTGAAACAAGCACACAGATCCCACAGATCTCTCATCATTACCCTGTGCATTCTTGCCCAGCCCTTTGCCTGGCACGTAGCCCATCTTCTGCAGCAGTTTCTGCCCAATTCCACGGGTGTGTTTCTCCCAGGTGCCCAGGTCCTGCCCACCACGAGTGCCACTGCCAAATGCCCTCTGGGAGCTCTTAAAGTTCCCCCCCTGGTGTGCAAACAGAGAGAAGGCAGACACACAGGGGAAACAGAACCACATCAGTGTGCTGTATTACCCCGGTGGCAACAGCCCACTCTGTATGCATAGCTGTACCTGCAGCAGGTGCGAAGAATGAGTAAGGGACAGAGAAAAGAAAACTCCAGCCACCGGAGCACAAGCAACTGAACTGAAGGCCATATTGTGAAGAGAGGACACTGCAGCGAGCCGTCAAGCAGGATTTACAGAAGAAACGGGAGGTTCTTCCCCCCCAGCCCCTGACCTCAACCCTTTCTCACCGTCTGCAGCCTTCTGGGCGCTGACTCCCGGGGGGGCGCCTGGGGAGGGTCTGCCTCTGGTTCTGAGTCGTCAGATCCCTCCTGTTCTCTCTCCTCGGCCGCGCTCTTCCGGAGCCCCGCGCTCACGAAGCTGACAGGTGCAGTGTAGTCCCTGGACCTGGACACAGAGCAAACCATGTAGGAAACTGCCCCAGATATAAAACATTATACCCACTTTAATAAGGCTGTGAGATTTTCCTGAAGCAATTTTAATAATCCCCCTCTCTGAACTGGCTTCATCACGCTGCTCTCCTCCCCACTGAGAGCTGCTGTGTGGTGAGCAGACTGGTGCAGCCTCCAGGTGAGGCTGCACACTGCTGGTGGTGGAGGAGGTAAAGAGCTTTGAGTGTAGTGTCCAGAAAAGGACTATAGAAGAGTAAGAATTATTATTACTCTACAATACAGAGGATACTTAAGGTTTTTATTTTTTTTTATGATCTGAATGCACTACAGCCCTCGGGTTTGCACTGAATTCACAAACTCCACTCTCTTACACTGACACCCAGATTCAAGCAAACTGGCAGACAGGGGCACGGCGCACCTCTTCCCACCAAAGCTGGGTCGCTCGTCATCGGAGTCGCGCTCGGCCCACACGCCGTATGTCGCCTCCTCTTTGGTCTGGCGGTGCCGGCGCCGGTCGGGGTTGAACTCGTTCTCTAAGTCCCAATCCGTCACCTCGAAGCGCTCGACCTCCACACCCTCCTCCTCCTCCTCGCCCCCCCTCCCGTACAGGTGGGACAGAGACATCCTCTGGGCGGCGCTCGGACTGGCACACTGCGGTCTGCAAGGGAAGGCAGGACCGTGAATGTATTTTTGCTGCTTATAGAAAGATATCTTCACCGTGATAGGAGATCGTTAAAGGATATCCTGTCAGATATTCTGGGATTTAACAGGCACCGAGAATCCAGATCGGGCAAAAAAAAATCGTGTAGTTTTTCAGGTTCTGCTCGGTCGGGTTCCGTTCTGTGGCCCAACGTCCAACACCAGAGTGCGGTCCCGACCAGGGGCGCCCAGCGCATCCGGCACGTCACAGCTCATTTTCAAAATAAATTAACCAGCCGGCAAGTAAGGCGTTTCCCGATTAGGAGACAGAAAACTGGACTCCTTTACCTCGATGGATGACGATTAAACACTCAGCAAACACCAACCTGCTTCCCTGCCGAGTATTTTCGTGGGGAAATTGCCGGACTTCGCTCGAAAACTAAATCTCGCCTTAACCCGAGAAGCGTAAACAGAGCGACTTCCCTCCACTTCCTGAGAGTGCACAGTCTACACCTGTCCCCTAGAAACGTAGACTAAAATTGTCTAGAAAAATAGTCGCCGAATCTGTGCATATACCAAATAATCAGAGTGGAATGTTTTAAATAAATAATGTGCATGGTGATATATGCAAGCCTTGTGACTTCTTGTTTCCTTCTGTTCGTATGATCTGACTCCTACCGGACCCCTCACAGTCGGAACTTTTGTCACGCGTCATAGTTTCCGCCAGGGTCTTTGTAAGGCCGTACGCGCAGTCAGAAGTGCAAGGTGGTGTGTGTTTGGTTGAGGGGGTGGGATCAGTCCAGTGGGCTCTGTGTTCAGCCGGGAGGACCGGTTTCATCTGACAGCTCTGAGGTTCTCTGGTAGCTGAGTGACGCTAAGATCAGAGTGAGCACTGGGAGGGTGGTGGCTGCATTTTACTACTGTTTTTGACACGTTGCATTTATTCTTGATAGAAGAGTGAAAAAGAGCGTACGGCTCTTCGTAAGGTTTGTTCTGTTCGGAGCGAGGAGGGACTTTTTGAGTCAGCGCTCCACACAGACGGTACCGGGGACTGTTCTGAGCTCACGGTTAGGGTTATGTACATCTATACCGTCTCCGTTACGTTAATGCGCTGTGGAGGATCTTGACAATATTTTCAGAGTAGTGCAACACGGAAAACGTGAAATTACGTCAATTAACGGAGCGCTTAAGTTGGACAAAAGCCAGCGCAGGTCCGACCCTAGTCTTCCCTCTCGGCAAGGTCACAGAGCCGTGATCGCAACCGCTGCGCGGAGCCCGGCGGTGCTGACATTGTATCCTGGTCTCCTAGGATCCCAGCTTTCCCAGAGGGATGGCGGGCGGCAGCGGGGAATGGCAGAAGGTACAGCGGAAGAAGGGGAGAAGCCGGCCCAGGCGGTGGGGAGGACAGGGACAGCAGGGTAACTGTGTCCTGGACGATGCACCGGACACTCGGCAGCTCCGAGAGAGGATCACCGCAGCCATGTGAGTCTCTCACCGCGCCGGGCAGTTCTAGGAGGTATGGCTTAGGCCATCAGAGAGCGTTCCAGCGTGTCGGACAGGCGCCTGCAGGAGAGGCTGAGCTGAGCGCCGTGTTGCCTGTGTAGACCCTGATGACACAAGCACCTCCGATGTGGTAGCGTCGCCTTGTGCATGTTATAACACTGTACCCGACACTGCCTCTTCCTCCTTCTTTCAGCTCTGCTCTGTTGGGGCGATGGGCGATAGCAGTGATGCCAAAGTCCTCAGTAGACTCAGCAGTTCTTCCCATGTGAACACTGAAGGCTAAATTTTTCTCTGTGTATTTCAGGAAAGAGCTGAGGATTGAGGATTTCTGGCAGGTGTGGAGAGGTGAGCTAGTCTTCAGGAGTGGACTCCCAGCCAGCTGTGTGCTGGATAATCCTCTTGTTGGCATGTACCCGTACAAAACAAATCAGAGGGCACAAGTGTAAACTACGTAGAACTGCATTTGAAACCAAGACCAGACAGCACATCCTCACCTAAAAGGTTGTGAGAGTCTGGAACAAGCTGCCCAAATCAATATCTTGGCTTCCACCAAGAACTGTCCAGAGATCCTTGGATCAATAAAGCTACTATCCACCAATCAGGCCAGATGGGTCAAGTGGCCTTATTTTGTTTATAATCATTCTTACATTCTTATGTCCCACAGTCACAGCTGTTCAGATTAATCAGCCATTAGGTTATGGAGGTGAAGTCATCTCTTCTAAAATTGATCACCTTCCTGTTTTTCATCCTAATGTGAACATTACAGAATACTAGTTTAAGAAATGCTTTAAGCTGTTTAAATGTTTCAGTTTGTTTTTTGTCAAAACTGCAAGTTGTTTTCTGCCTTTGTGTAAAAGTGTGGGAACTCAGTGTGGTGGAGCGTGCTTTCTGATTGTGCAGTAGAGTAGAACCCTGATGAATAATGTCCTGTGTCACTCGCCAGGAATCGGTGCTTATTCATTCAGAGGCATCCTTCCTCACAGACCTGGTGTTGGGGTCAGCTGTGTTCTGCCTTCTTTCTTCAGAGCTGCTTGTAAACAGCCTGTCCAGCGATCCCCCAGCTGAGCTGGGCAGCGGCAGCTCTCCTTCCCAGGACAAGGAGAGTGCGTGCTCTTCACACCCAAAGCGCGAGGGCGCTGTCTGTGCCGCGTCGGAGCTGGACTGCGTGTGTTACGGGCTAGGCAACTTCTCCTCCTGCGTCTCCTCCCGCTACCAGCTGGCTCTGCTGCTGCTGCTCCTAGAGAGCCTGCAGGTACCTGCAGCTCCGTGAGCGTCACTGCGTCTCCTGAGGTGCTGGATGATGGACGCGATCTGTAACAGGAGGTTAAAGAATTTAAGATGTTAAGGAAATGATCATGTCCTGACACCAGCTTGCCCAGAAGGCAAATTTCTCAGATACCTGTTGTGAGAATGACAGGTGGCCACATGGTATCTTTCTTATTAGCACAGTTTAATGGAAGCAAAATCATCAAAAGTCTTAAACGAGAAACACTTATTAATGACATTGAATTACAAGCTGTTATATAAGGTTTTTACAGAGCCTGCGAATCCCTGAGTCCAGGCTGTCTCACTTCCTCAGGGAGGTGGGTGTGTCCTAACGCAGAGCCAGGAGACAGTGCAGACAGTCTGCTTCGGGAGGCCATTAAACTGCCCAGCAGGCAGCTGCTGCAGGGCAGGAGAGGAGAGGAAGCTGTGATGGGCAAACCTCTCGGCCGTTGAGCTGGTCGTTCCAGCTGGGAACTCTGCTCTTCGCGCACATCTTGCACAGGTCTCTGCCTTTTCCTGCCTCCCTGCCTAGGAGGAGTTTTGGGTTGGTGTGCAAGTCTGAACCGGACCAGGAACAGGCTCAGCAGCTCTGCGAAACCCGTATCGGTGAAATGGTAACCCAGATTATCCTTAACTGGGCATTGCATTTGTTGATTATTAAAACCCAGTATATGTTTTGAAATGAAATCTGAAGACAGGGCAGTGGTTTGCAGAACACATGAATGTTTGGGGGAGACACTGTCTTGCCCCAGTATTGACACCATCTTGCCCAAGGTGCCGCCCCAGCGCTGCTGTGTGTATGACCCGGTGTTCTCGGCGGCAGAGACCAAAGTTCTGCAGGCCCTGGGGCTCACTGTGCTCACGGAGAACGAGGTGAGAGGAATCGCAGTGAGAAGACGGCTGCTGCAGCCTGCAGGCTGAGTGCTGAAGCGGATATTAGTGTAGAGGACTTGCAGCCAGGATGTTCTCGTTTTAGGCCCCTGACTCTATCGCTGGTTCATGGGAGCTGCTGAACATCTCTGTGCTTTTTACTTCAGATAAGATGTTATATTTAGGGGCGGTATGGTGGCACAGTGATCAGAATTGCGGCCCTGGGTTCAGTTCTGGACCCGAGGTGCTGTCTGTGTAGAGTTTGTATGTTCTCCCCATGTTTGCGTGGGTTTCCCCCAGGTGCTCCCACAGTCCAAAGACATGCTGGTGGGTCAATTGTCTTCTGGGAAAACTGGCAGTGGTGTGAGTGCCTGCAGTGGGCTGGTGTCCCATCCAGTGTGTATCCTGCCTTGTGCCGTTGCTTGCCGGGATCGGCTCCGGCTGCCCTGCAACCCTGAACTGGATAAAGCGGTTATTGAATGTGAATGAGCATTAGTGACTGCAGCAGGAGCAGTCATTCACTTGCTTAGTCTCTCTGCCTCAGAGAGCCTGTAACCAACATCATCAACTGAACCCCAGTTCTTCTGTTCAGTAATTGTCTGCAGGCAGAATTGCTTTGTGTTATTTTCCTGGGTGCTGTTCTGAATTGTCGTCTGTTGTGCTTTGTTGCTGCTGCTCAGGAGGGGAAGCGGCTTGTGTACAGACCCACCCTCTTCTACCTGATTCACTGTGGAAAAGCACTGTATAACAACCTGCTGTGGAGAAACTGGAGCACTGACAGCCTGCCCCTGCTTACCATAGTCGGAAACAGTTTCTGTGGCATTCAGGAGAGGTGAGGCAGTTCCATGACCATCATGGTGTTGTTCTTTTCTTTACACAAAGGATTGTGGGAGTATGGAACAAGCCATATCACCTTGACATACTGGTGTTGGTGGAGGGGTCCCCATTACCATTACGCTTTGAGTGCAGTGTCCAGAAAAGTGCTGTAGAAGGATTGTTTATTGTTGTTTATTATGTGCCCAAACTGTTCTGAAGCCAAAACCCCTGGTTCTACCAGGAAACACCTGGATGAGATCTGATAAATTAACTACCAGTTACCAAAGGGGCTAGATGGGCCAAGTGGCCTTATATTATTTGTAAGTCTTCCTTATATTCTTTCCTCTCTTTTGAATTTTAGTCGCATGAAGCACCCTGATAGATCTGTAGCCTGAGAGTGTGGAGAGATTAGAGCAAGCAGCTCATGGCAGTAAGAGTTGGTATCGATGTTTGTTTTGCAGCACGCTGGAAAGAGTCCTCAAGAGAGATTATACCTACATCCGGGACGTATCCTTTCCTGTGTCCTCACCTCTGGACACCCGTCCTGCCCTCACTGTTGTGGACAAGAGCCGGAAACTGGGGCTGCCAGTATTACCAGTGAAATTTAGAATCAATTCTAAAACAGCATGGCTTGCATACGATGACTTGATGATGTGCTCTGTCTCTGAGAGTGCTGGACGTTCTGCTGAGATCAGTGGGGCAGTTGGACCTGCCCAGTGTGCTTTGGCATGAGGCTGTTTCTGGGCCTTCTGCTTCTATTTTGTTAAAAAGAATGTAAAAATATTCTGCTTTTGTTCAGTTTTATTTCCTAAATGTTTTAATTCCTGATTGAATGGTGAATGAAACCTGGTTACAATTTCAAGTTCCTTTTCACTGATTTCTTTCCTCTCTGTTTTTTTGCTGTGTTGCTATTTCTGTCAAGGCTGGGGCAGTGTCCACCAGTGGACATTGTCCGTCAGTGTTTCTGGAAACCTGTGCATTGAAAGTGAAGCACGGGCCCCAGCCCTGGGTGCTGTATCTGCTGAGTGTCGTGTCACAGCTGTGCTTTTCCTTCATGGCGGTGGCAGATTATGAGAGCATGTGAGGAGACACCGCTACCCTGCCCCCCCCGACTTCTGGACGTCTTCAACAACACCGTTCTCTTGCGTTTCCCTCCGGAGCTCCTGGCTTCCCTGCCCTCTGACACCTGGGCTGACCCCCCCGAGCCGGACTACCAGCACTGCCCGGACCTAGAGATCATACAGGCTGCAGGGGCGCTGCAGGGGGCAGGAGGGGGCGGTGGGCATCCCAGCACCGGCTTCAGGGGCGCCCCAGGACCAGCGCCGGCTTCAGGGGCACCCCAGCACCAGCCATGCTGCGCTGTAGGACACAGTGCGCCTCTGTCTCAAGGCTACACAAGCGTCGGCACTGGGCATGGCAACCAAGTCTGAATCCCACCACGTTTCCAGAGAATTCTCCCTCTTTCTGCTGGGTAACTTACAAGGAGCTAGCAGAACCTGTCATAGCTGAGACTGAGCTGCAGGGAGACAGGCTGGTTTTAAGTAATTATTTATTGAAAACTTGCACCCAAAAAGTATCAGATAGAAAAGGGCATTCACCCCTCTCGGCACATCTCCGTGAAAAGACCTCCCAAGCAGTACAGGCGGCAGGCCGGGCAGTGGAGAGGCGATCCCGGAGCACAGCTGGGGTCTGGCTGGTTGACTGCACACCTGTGGTGCCCATTCAGGCTGGCACTGCCCACTAGTGGGTTAAATAACTGCAGTCCCAAGATGCAAGGTCAGTCAGATTTGTACAATGTATGTCAGTTTTGCACAAGCAATAAGCACTAGAGAGCACAGGGTAAATGAGATGAGAAGAGTTGTATTAGTTTTGTCTGAAAGCTTGTATTACTGTAAATAAAGGAAAAGTACATCTGATACTACTGTGTCTGTACCAGGTTGATAGTGAGCAGTCAGCCCCGAGGTGCCAGTATCAACGGCCGGCCGGCTCTCTGGTCAGACACATTTTACAGATGAGGTGGGGGAGGACATTGCGACAGTCTTCGCCTCCAGAGTATGGGAGGGAGCCAGTCACTGCATTTTTGCTCTGTTTTCAGTGTCCTTCATTCACCAGAATAAACTGAGAAATCACACGGTTTCATAAAATCACAATGCCATTTTTACAATATTAAAAATTAATTGATTTGGCAGACTATTAAAAAGCTGTGCCTTTTTTTGAAGAAGGTAAGTTTGTGGACGGATGGCAGCTGTAGGGGCTGGTCGTTGCTCAGAGTGGGTTTGCTGTTAAATGGCTGCTGTCTCTTCTCTGGCCGTTTCTGGAGGACCTGAACGGTCATGAGCTGGTTCCTGTGGTATCATCTTCTCCCCGGGTATAATCTTCTCCTGATGTGAGCCAGGTAGTTCTTTATCTGTACCTGTATTTTCATTAATCATGATTTCCTGCCCCGCTTCCTCTTCACCTGTCTCTTTCTCTGTAGCATTTTCCCCATTGGCCGGTGACTCTACAGTCCCACCGTTTGACAACAGTTCAGGTCCCTCAGGCCCTGCCAGTTCGTTGGTCAGATCTGCTACAACTATTTTCTCATTCTCATTTCTTATGTCATTCTGGTCTAGGACATGTAGAGCATTATTGTCACTCTCTCTTGCTTGATTGTCCTGTTTATGGGTCTTGTTACTGCAGGGGGAAAAGGATATAATCAGAAAAAATCAACTTATTCTGGCACTGTGGGGCATGCAGTTGGAGATTACCTACCCTGGTGTGACTTTGAGGATCCCATTGACCAGGGCCAGCTGCTCCAGTCTGGTCTCCAGAGAGGGAGTTAAAATCTGTTAGAAAAACACGGTAAACATCATTCGACCAGGTACTTCACTTAGATCCCTCCAGTAAATGCCCTGCAATATAAACAAGTCTCCAGGTCACCATTGTAAATGAGAACTATGTATTTAGAATACAGCAAAACTAGTGTAGGATCTGGCTTTTCCCTTCTGTTTCTCTCCCTGCTTTTCTGCAACCCGAATATCTGTGGACGCTCCACTCTTACACGTGGACTCTGTCCCATGGCTCTGTCCACTGCCACTCTTTCCACTGGACAGTGTCTCACAGACATCATCTCCCTGACTAAGTCATTCTCCTTTGTGATGAGATTTATATTAGGTTCCTTTTGCTTTGGTTCTGAACCTGATAAGTCCAAGATGTGATGGTTAACCAGGAAGAACTCTTCAAGGCTCTCAATAGACTCTCCTTATTAAAAAGCCTGTTTTTGTTAAAGTTGGTTATTCTTTTCTGTGCAGCCTGGTAACTTGGTAAGGTTGTGTACATTACAGTAGTTCACTGCACCTAAAATGTGTAGACTTGTGAAACGTGATGAGGAAGTAGCACCATAATTCCAAGTATCCCTCATTGTTCACAGAAGATGACTTAAGTAGTTAAGTAGTTTGGCACCTATTCCCCTTTTATTTTCTTCACAAGTGCACAGCCGATTTCACTGAAATTCAAAATCTGGAGTTGATTCCATAAACCTAGATGGGCACCATCAACCAATCATACTTTTTTAACAAGATGGATAAGTCTAAAAAATGATTAAACAGTAAATTATTAATTATTTCTTTCTAACCAGTTTCCAATAAAAAGAACATAACGAGGCCACCATTAGGACCATCATGCCCATTTTGTGGTTGGTAAGCTAAGGCCACTCAACACTGGACAGCTAACACACATCTCAGGTCCCATATACATAATGGCTGAAATATAAACGGATTTGCCAGTGAAACGTCCTGGGGTTGATTTGCCCCAGTAGAATATTCTGGGAGTAACGAGATGCCGCTGCAGCTTTAACAAAGTGTTATCCTCATAGATTCTCATGGATTTAAGTACATTTCAAATGCTCTATTTGATTAGTTAATTCCATCTTTTCTGGGATCTGGGATCTGGGATGTTGTGGAATTTTGACTGTCATAGATTTCATGGCCTGCCAGTGTCTGCCTGTGGTCTTCCTCACCTGAGGAGCAGTATCCTGCCTGTGATCTTCCTCACTTGAGGAGCAGTGGCCTGCCAGTGTCTGCCTGTGATCTTCCTCACCTGAGGAGCAGTGGCCTGCCTGTGATCTT